ACTCGAAGTTGATGTTAAGGAAACAGGGATCGAATTCAAAAAGAATAAACAATTTTATGATTTATATAAAGATCCTGTCTTCATTCTTTCGCCATTTCTTGATGCCATGTTCACACTCAATTGGATTACTGCGTCTTTTCTTCCTGATACAGTTAAAGAACGAATATGTGAAAAAAATCAAAAAATTAATATTTGATCATAGTGTTACTAATGAACATGCTAATGAAAATTCTGCTCCACCGAATATCGAATTGGTTCAGGAAGAACAAATACAAAGTACTCAAATATCAACTCCAAGCACTCAATCGTCAAATTCAAATACAAGTAAAAGAAAATGTCTTTTTTCAAATATTCAGAACGATCAGAAATATTCAAAGAAGACAAAAACAATTGATTCATATAACTATATTAAAGAAGAAATCTCACGTTATCTTAATGATACTAATAATGACAATATGCTTCTCTTGAAATCAACATCATCTAAGTCATATAATGCATTAACTAAATTAGCTACAAAGTATCTATGTATACCGGCAACAACGGCACTGGTCGAACGTGTCTTTTCTCAGAGTGGTTTTCTTTGCCGACCTCATCGTGCTCGAATGACACGAACGACACTTCAACAACTTACTTTATTGAAATGCAATTGTGAAATTCGATTAGATTAAGTTAATCTAAATATATAGCTGTTGCTCAGTACGTTTTGTGTTGGTTATTATCATGGTATCAATTCATTTGTGATATATTTGTCCGCAATGTTTTGTTTCTTTTACGAACTGAAATTCATTATTTGCAGTACATTTCTTTTCTATGGTGTGGTGTGAAATCAATCTGCATTATTTTTTGTTTGAGTTCCTTTTTTACTTGTTCTGAAACTACGTCGAATACTAGTTTTTGTTTGCCATTTAATGAAAGTGTCATATCATTCATGATTCTAAATAAAAATCTTGATGATTAAATGATTTAGATTTTGACTTGACTTGACTTGAAGCGAAAAATTGCTGACTTGCCCATCTCTGCAAAGTATTTTTTAAATCTACTTTTTCTTGTTTCCCCTAATTTTTTGTGCTTATGTATGCAGAGCCCTGATGAGTGTTCAAATTCGAATAAATAACACAAAACGCGTCGGCGAAATTAAACTCTCTGCATTTCTCTTATTAATTAATTTTCAGAAGCACATCAGTTAAACTTACATATCTGTTGATATTTGCTCGATTGCTGAGAAGCAAAACTTGGGACTAGCAAATTGGCTTGTATCCAAAAGAATATAGGTTATTTTTTTCGACTGAAACTGGTCATGGCAGCTCTAATCACCCTTTAATTAGTCTTTCTAATTTTTGCTTTGCATTTGAATGCAGTCATTTACCTATCTGATGATCGATTCTTGGAAAAGATCGAAATCGCAATCGTAGGATCCCACTATGTATAACACATCTTCACTCATGATGAATTACCAATTTGTGAGTGGAAATTATGAGATTCCTTGAAACAGAGTCGAAACGCGTCACGATGGCTTGCACTCGCATTCTAAAGCTGCACATATTCCACAGAGTCTTTCATCATATAGCCTCAAGTTTATTCGAAAATATAACGCGGTTAGATATAAAAATGGGAAATATCACCTCCGAACGCGCCTTATAGTTAATATATACTTATATGAAGTTTTCTTGACGATGCAAAATGTTTAAAAAAATTACCATACATGTATTTTAATATTTCTTTATGTGTCGTAAAATAGCGTTCATTTTTTTGTTATTTACTAGAAATACTGTAGTAGGTGCCGTTTAAAATATGTTTCAAAGTGATACGGGCAGATCTACTGGTGCTGCTGAGGTCTTTGATATAATTGATGACTCATCGTCTAAGGACAGTAATGGCTTGACTACCTGTGCAAGCTGTCGAATTGATGGATAATTAAATACGAGAGTAGCATCAATTTCAATACCAAGTTGCTGACGAATAAGATAGATCATATGTAGTACATTCAATGAGGTTCCACCCATTTCTGTAAACGACATATTTAGATTAGGTAATTCATCATCAAATACTTCGCTAAAAATACATTGTAAATCTTTTTCAAGTGGTGTTAATAGCATTGAATCAGATTGATCGGCATTCGTTATCGCAGATAAGGAAGGTGTTGGTAACAGTTCTCGGTCTACTTTTCCGTTCTCATTCAAAGGCAATTGTTCGAGTATAACAAACACTGATGGAACCATATGGTATGATAAGCGTGATTCACAGTATTCACGTAATTGATTCTCATCAATACCAGAACTTTGAACATAAGCAGTTAAACAACTATCATCCAATATAATGACAATAGAAGCAGAGATAGATATGTGTTCAAGTAAACATTGTTCGATTTCATTAAGATCAACATCATGTCCATGAAATTTAGTTTGACGATTCTTTTTTCCTTTATAATAGAGAAGACCTCTGTTATCCCTTCGAACAAGATCACCTGTTCGATAGAATACTTCGTTATCAATATCAATAAATACTTTTGTTGTTAAATCATTACGTTCAAGATAAGCGGTGAAGATGTCTACGCTTCCTACAAATAATTCACCAATCTGTCCGATTGTTATAGGCTGTAGGTATTTATCAAGAATAATACATTTGTAATTAGAAAATGGATATCCAATTGAAAAAATGCTTTTTTTGTCATTTAAATCGATCAAATGATATAAAAAGTCAACCATTGTTTCAGTTGAACTATATGAATTCCATATGTGAACATTGTTGAACAAATTACTGCATAGTTCTTTAATTGACTGAATTGTGGAGGTAATATCTAGAAAAAATATATTAGAAGCTTTTAAAACTTGTTGTAAAACATCATACTTCTAATATTGATGTTGCGAAGTGTGTTAAATTTTATACAATCATATTCCAGTAGAAATTTTAGCACAGAATCGAAACGTTCTGGAATAGTTTGCATACATGAAACTTGTTTTTGTTGTAATACATTTGATATATATGTAACGTCTTTATTACCACGCGGATGTAACATTATAACAGCAGATCCAACTATAAGTGTACCTATGATTTCTTGTATATGTATACTGTTAGAAGCACATGACATTTGTAAGACTGTATCTTTGTTTGTAAGAATATTCATGCAAATAAGAGAGCGAATATATCCAATAAAATTATAATGTTGAATTTCAACCTACACAGTTATATAATATATATATTTATCATATTTGATTGAGATAGAAAAGTGGAAACTTACTAATTTTGGTACATCTGCCGATCCACTAGTAGATATTGTATAGGCAATATTCTTTGGTGTTAAAACAACGTCTAGGAATGTGTCTATATTTGTATTATTTTCAGTAATCGTATTAGTTAATATTGAGCCAATATCAAGTGAAATAATATTCCCATCAAACTTGGTTTTTGTCAAACAATGAACAAGAACAAGATGACTTTGAATATTTTGTAATAACAAATGTAAATCATTTTCTGAATCATAAAATGATAATGGACAATAAATACCACCGCACGTCACAATTGACAACATTCCAATTACCTATGAATATAAATATATAATTATTGAGTATTTTAAAATAACTTAGTTGGTTAACTTGCCATTGATAAACTTCGATCCACACATTGACAAATAATGTCACCTGGAACAATATTATATTCGTTTACAAGAGTCAATGATAATACTTGAACATAATATAATAGTTCACAATATGTCAAACATTGATCATCGAGTTCAACAGCCAGTTTTTGTGGATATTTGGTAACTTGATATACAAATTCAAAATGAATACAAGAGGCAGAAGAAAATGTCATTTGCGTATTATTAATTGATACTTTTAATATTCTTTCATCCGGTAATGTTAATGGTGATTCAAAGATTGAGTTTCCTGTCCGATCCTCTGTTTCATTAAATACTTGTTCTATCATTGAACGAAAACGCTGTACAATCTTAACAACTGTTTCTACATCAAATAAGTCAAGTGACGCATTAATTGTGTATGAAAATTGACCGAGATTGAGATCATGATGAACATCAAGACCAAAGTTGAAGTTAATCATGATTTCATCTGTATTAGTCTTGTATGAGATTGGCACAAGGCAAAGTTGAGTATCTCCAATCATCTTATCATTTTCATTAGCCGAAAAATTGAAAAATATGTCGAGAAATGAAGATTTTGAAATATTTGGATGTAGTTGAAGAATATGTTGAAGTGGAAAATAAGAATATTCTAAACTATTTGTTAGTGTTTCTTGAACATGCTCTATAAGTTGATGAAAAGACCAATGAGGGTCCAGTTTACATCGCAATGGGATAATATTCTTAAACAATCCAATCACTGACTTCAACTCTTCTTTCCATCGACCATCGGTATTCATTGCAATACATAAATCTCTTTCTCCAGTAGTCAATTTCAATAAAAAAGTGTAGTAGGTAGCAAGTGATACGATCATAGGCGTAATACCATTTGACGAAGCATAATCAACAAAATGATGCGAAAGATCTTTTCCAAAATCAAAAGATATCGATATTCCACGACCAGTTCGACATTCATTTGAAAGGAGGTATCGATCGTATGGTAGAAGTAAAGGTTGATCAAGTTTACTGTCATGCAGAGCATCAAGCCAAAACATTTTTGCAGCTGCTATTGGCATTTGCTTTTCGATAGCAGTATCTAGAAAATAACGAGTGATATATGATGAAGAAAAATAAGGCAAATATTTATATTTACAATCAAGATAGCGTAGATTAGTTTCATTATTATTTTCCGGCAAGTGTCCAGTTGCATATGCTTGATTAAGATCATGAAGAAATATACTCATTGATGGAAAATCAAATACGACATTATGAAAATTAAAGATGATTACATCTTTGTCAGAAAGGAAATCATTTGAAGAGATTTGTTTATAATAAATAATGTGGCAGCGAAAAACTTGACCTTGAGAAAGATTGAAAAGTCGAGAATTATAATTTTCATTGTATAGAATCTCGTTCAATTGTTCATTTGTTTCAAAAGTGCTTTCAATAAATGTAAACAATTTTTTGTGGTTGTTATTGTTCATATCAATAATTTGCTGCATGAGAATATTGCTTTCTGTGTCAAATACGAGCGCTGTACGCAGTGATTGATGTTTGTAGACAAGTTGTTGCAGTGATTTCTGAAGTTGAATAAGTGATAGAGTATCACTTAATGAACACCGATATATATAAGGCATATTAAAGGTACCAATGTGTGACTGATCAACATAAGAATGTCTCTGTCTGTTCAATAGCAGAGTTTGGGCATAAGATGCTGGCGCTAGGAGAAAATAATATATTCCATAAAAAAAACTTACATTATTAGGAAGTGAAAAGCAGGGCAATTATTACGCAATATTTATTTTAATTTCTAAGAAGCGTTCATATTTATTTACAAATGAGGTTTCATAGAAAGTGCAAAATAATAATCTAACATCACAGCATACCTTAACACATATGAGTATGTCGATAACAAGCAAGAAGTTTCTCAAAAACAATATTCTTCTAATTCTTAGTTTTTCTATGTCGATCAGATTACACCCTACGAACTTATTTTTTAAGTTCTACTTTTAGAACATTGATCCTAAATAACTTGCAGTATTGCCCAGCATTTATAATTCATTTGACAAATTTTTAGGATTTGAAAAATGCTTGATTTCGCAAATTATACAGATTTAATTTGATTTACGAAAACATGAACTTTCATAAAAATCGTGAAGAGTCCATATCGATTCGAAGGAAGTTATACTATCAACTCTGACTTGGTTTTCATCGCAATTTCCGAAAACTAATCTATACAGTTAAGCATACTGTTAAAGGTGTAATCTAAACTACAAGCGATTCGGAAAAGTTGTCAAAACGTGGTTATATACTTATGTTTCTTGCTTTAAGTAATCATTTTTGTAATAATTGTTCCATTATATTAGACTTTATTGTTTATTATTTCGATAGTTGATATTTGTCTGAAATGTTTTTTCTTCAGATTATTGATCTTATTTTGCGTGCTACGTATTACTCACATGGAATAAAACTAATAAAAGATATTTCGTTAGAGCATGAAAATCAACTTCGATCTTTCAGTCCTTAAAAAAATGCTCAAGTTAATAAATTTCGAGTTTACAATGTAGATTATTCACTTATTTATTTGATATTATTTGTTGACGAAATAGAAAATAAAGAAAAGATCTGCTTATTCTCTTCTTCTTCCAATTATTTTCATCCACATAAGATTTAGTTCGTTCAGCTGGCATCGAGGAGTAGTATGGTTGAGCATAGATAGAAGTACTATTTCTGTTAATAGAGATTCAAACCTTCAGCGCTAAGAAAATTTCACAATGGATTAGTTATCTTTGTGTTTCTTTCACGGCTGGCAAAGGGCCTTATTTACATATTCTTCTGTGAAGTCTGTTAAACTAAGATATAGAGTTGTGGGAATATATCGAAATATTAAAAATTATCACATCATAACGAATCGAAAACGATAGAAAAACTTTGATTAAAGAGTCATACACGTTAAATGGTGATTACAAGGAAAGATCTGTATTCTTGTGAAACATCACATTCCTCATTTGTCGTGGTTCACAACTCTTTCAAATGTGCTCATAAGAATTTTCTCTGCTGTCTATATGATTGCTCTCTTTTCTTTCTCCTGCCCCTAGTTACAGACTTTTTCTATCATATGCATATACGGTTGAGACATCTCCTTTTCGTCATTTTCGCTTTCAACTTGTATGGAATTAGTAAAGATATTTATTTTTTGGGATCGTTATTGCACTATTTATCGTTGTTTTTACACTGGTAACATAAAAGATGAGATGCACGAATAAACATATCTAGAGAATTCAGATCTTTCATCGTCTTTAAATCTTACAAGGAAAACAACTCATGGTCGTATTAATAGTACACATCAAAAGTGACAAAATGAGATTAGTATACCTTTATTTGCATTTGTAGATAACCTATGAAACATTGCTCCTTGCATTTCCGCAATTTCTTCTGGTAGAATAATAGATAGTTTCCTGATAGGTAAAACATATTCATCAGTGGTGATATTATTGAAATTTATCGTAAATAATTGTGAATAAAAACGTTCGAACCGTTTTGTTATTGTGTTTAATGTAATTTCATTGAAGCAATCAAGTGAGAAGTTAAGAAGACAAGATAATTTGCCACTGTCTAATGTTGAGTTATAGAAAAACATGAGTTCGAAATCAAATAAAACGTATAGAGTTGATGAGAGAAGATCAGGTACTTGCTCTAAGCTTGTACCAAGCAAGTTTAGCTGATTTACATCTCTCTCTTCGGTGGTAAATTCGAAAAATATTTCAAGAAAAGATGTATTCAATTGATTGCGATGAAAATCAGCAAGAATATCCTGTAGTGGATAATGAGTATGTTCACAAATTGATGTGTATTTTTGTTGCACATGTTTGACAAGTTCATTAAATGACCATTCACAGTCAATTTGAACACGATAAGGTAATGTTGCAACAAACATGCCAATTATATTTCGTAATTCAGGTTTGTAACGATTGGCATCTAACGAAGCAATGCATATATCACTTTCACCATGCGTTAGTTTGAATAGAAATGCATAGAACGTGGCGAATGCTAACTGATAAGGTGTAACTTGATGTGCAGATGCATAGTTAAGAAACCCTGTCGCGATGTCATCATGAAAAATAACACTATTTGTAACACCGACTGTTGAACGACGTTCAGTCGATAAACGACGTCGATCAAAGAGCAATGGTAAGGATTGGTCGAAATTATACCCTTCAAGTTGTGAATACCAAAACCTACGCAGCGTTGTCATATCTGTCGAACGTTCATGTACAGAATAGTCCATGTATTGCAATGTGTTCTCATCTAGAGGTAATGAATCGTCATTCTGATAAGCATAAGACAAATCATGTGATAGCAACGGCATTGAATATCCATCTATTGCAGAATGATGAATAAAAATAGCTATCAAATCATCATATGCCAATAGGTCATCATTTTGTGATGTCAAACGACGACAGTGTTGTTGTCGAAGGATATGGCAATGCATAACCCAGCCTTTCTCCAAATCAAACAAATCATGTTGCCTCATAATTTCTGTAATTTTATCATCAAATCTATCATTATTATCAAGTTCTGTTATTGTAAAGCTAAAAGGTTGCTGATCATCAATATTATTATTGGTATTTATATAATGTTGTATAAGTCTACCATCTGCGTCAAGATAAAGTGCTGTACATAGAGTTGGATGCGCCCTCACAACAGCTAGAAGTGCTCGACGGAATCGACTAATTGAGACACGACTTTCAACAGACGTTATACGATAGAGCATTTGAATAGCATATATATTCGACATCTTTGTTTTAGATGAAAAACGAATTTGTTCGTCTAAGAAGATTCGTTCTTGCGCAAATGATGCTTTAGCTATAATGAGAGAGAAAAGACAAATATCCAATTGAGCATAATGTCAGCTTTAAGTTGCTTTTTTTACCTTGACTAAGATACAATGGAGACCAGGAGTAATCATCCAAACTATGACGAGCATTGATAGACTGTTGAATGAGTTTAGCATGATCAATAATTGTTGGATTTTGAAATAGAGTAGAAATGGAAACAAAATTTGGATTTTGTTCTAAACAAAATTTGACTTTGTATCGATGAAACATTTGCATCATAAGTAATGAATGACCACCAATAGAAAAGATATTTGTGTCTATCGAAATTTGATTTTGTTGAAGAATATCACACCAAATCTGACGAACAGTAATTTCAATTTCATTTCTTGGCATTAATAATTGGGCATCACTTTCCAGAGTTGTGGGTGAAACATTCGAGAAGTCAAGCGATGGAAGACTCTTTCGATCGATTTTCCCATTGGAGTTCAAAGGTAATTTTTCAAGCACAATAAATTTTGATGGAATCATGTGAGGTGGTAGATGAGATTGACAATGTTCACGTAGTTGTTTTTCATCAATAGTGGAACTTTGAACATAGGCCACTAGATGGTCATCATTCCATTTCACAACAACACAAGCTGAAACGGATGATTGGAGTAGACATTGTTCGATTTCTCCCAATTCAATGCGTTGTCCATGTAATTTAATTTGGTGGTCTTTTCTACCGACGTAATGAATGAAACCATCTCTGCCTATTCGAACGAGATCGCCTGTTCGATAGAATAATTCACCGTCAATGACAACGACTATTCTTGCAGTCAAGTCATCACGTCCAAGATAACCAGCAAAGACACCCACACCTCCTACAAACAGTTCGCCTTCTTGGTTAGTCGATACGCGTTGCAAGAGTTCATCAAAAACTTCATGTTGGTAGTTTGAAAGGGGTCTACCAATAGGAATGTTCTCAGTGGCCGTCCGTATGGGTAAAAGGTGACACGTGCATCCTACGGTCGTTTCAGCTGGACCATACATATTCCATGTCTGACAAGTGTTGTTTACGATGCTCTGTATTAAATTTGCCAGTTGCGCAGAGCATGACTCACCTAAAAATAAAATTACATACAGGAAAGAATGATATATTTTGATGATGGGATACGTGAGATGCATACCCCCAGTACAAAGTGATCGTAAACATTTCATTGCGGTAATATAGTCAAACTGTTGGAGATAAGTGAATAAATTATAAAGTACAGTGGGTACTGTATCAAGAAAAGTAATGTGCTTTTCCTTCATGACATCGGCAAGGTACTGAAAGTCCACAATTGCTCCAGGATGTAGCATAATTAATGCAGCACCCATTATGAATGAACCTAAAATATCGCGAACATGTGGATCAAAAGAGCAACGTGCAACCTGCATAATCGTATCATTTCCATTGATAATATTCTTGTAAACAAAAGAGCCGATCATGCCGGTAAAACTTCGATGGCATACTTGAACCTATGAGAAAGTACATAAATGAAACAAAAACTCTCGCATATAAACTGCGTAACGAACCGCTTTTGGTGTTCCTGTGGAACCACTTGTGAAGATTATGTAGGCCACACTATCTGGTGTGACGATCACGTCAGACAATCGATCAACATCAACATTGATCCCCTGATTTTCATCAGTGAGTACTGCATTAATGTCAGATGATATAACATCATTTTGAAATTTATCTTTCGTCAAGTAATGAACAAGAACAAGGCGACTTTGAGTTTGTTGCAAAAGTGCATGTAAACGCTGTTGAGGATCTCGAGGGAATAATGGACAGTAAACACCACCCGCCATTACAATGGCCATCATACCAATCACCTAGCAAATATTTATATCTATATTATATCTATGCAACTATCTCTTTCGACACCTTACCATTGATAAACNTCGATGATATTTTTATGAAAATACTGCAAAAACTTCTGAAAAACTTTTTGAAAATGGAGATGTTTGTTAAGAGGGGTTTTAAATAATTAAAGTATCAGTGTGAAATTTATGGCGTAGTAAAAGTTCAATGGGCAGAAGCTTATGAATAAAAATTACAACGGGCAAGCTTCAAATTTGAATGGGCAATTGCCCATTTGCCCCCCCCCCCCCTGGCTACGCCACTGACTTTAAGGGCTTCCATAGACGATAAAAGTGAACATTGAATGATGTATTTTGTAGAGAGAACGTTACTCTACAACTTGGCGTATTTATGCAAGTTTTCGCTTATTGTACCGTGTTACCTAGTGAATGTCTATGAAATTTACTTTTCTACAAACTGCTTTTTAGACCCTTGAAAGATTTCCTCATCACACTATAACGCAAATTCATGTAAAAGTTTCCGGTCCGATATTCTGAAAGAGCAATACGCGCTGAATCTTTCTAATTACATTTGACTCCCGTCAATTGTTTTTAAATCACTGAAAAATAAGAAAATATTTTGTGCCAAGACTTTCTTGACATAAGTTAGACTCATTTTTATTGATGGAGATTCGTTTCGTCGTACTACCTTCGTGTTACTTGCTTCACACAGATGCAAAATATTCCCTCGACTGACAGGAGGATCATGTGAAAAGAATAGTTTTGTCTATCTGTTTGTGCCAGGATCAAACAAAGGTCTAAAAAAGATTTTTTAAAAATGCCGAAAACTTCACAAAACATCGTTTGGAAGGGGCTTTAAGACTCGAAGTTAGTTTGAGAGGTTTAGGCCAAAAGAAGACTGAACTGGTGGGGATATCAAGGGTGAGCTTGGACGGTCTGAGCTCCCCTAAACAGAAAATTCTGGCAACACCTCTACACTGAAACACAGGGTCAGAGGTGAAAGAAAGATTCTTTCCTTATCTGCAAAGAGGACAATACTGAAAAGAATAGACTGAGTAGGGGTAGGATGCAATGGCACTATTTGAACGACTGATACTCAAGAACTTATTCTGCACTTTTTATGATCACTCGATCAAGCAGCAAGTTTAGAAATTCGATTCATCATCGGTGAATTGATTTGTGATAATCTCTCTGACATGCGCTCTATGGATGGTACGATTTCTCTCATCTAATGAATTCTCCTTGTTTGGTGCATTCTGATGCACTTTGCTGTGACATTTTCTTACATTCTCTCTTGTATGGGCGAGTATATAAACGAGCGTTTTGTACCAGAACGATGCGATGTACGAGGAAGAAATAAATATAGGCGTAGTTCCATCAGCGCATACATCTTTTGCATCAAGAATCCTCACATTGTTCTTCTGAGGTAAAAATGCAATTAATTAAATACATTGAGTAGACTAGAAAAGAAATTGTGGACTGCAACGTCTAAGCGCGAGCGACCAACCGGAGTGAGGCCGACTAACGATTATCCGTCAGTCCGTAAGACTTCTCATGAGTGTAATGAATAAGATTCTTGAGTCAAGACTCTTCATATTTCAAAGGTTTTCGGATAAGACGAATCACAAATGAAAAAAATCTCTAGCGAGAAATTGTACCTAAAGGAAACTATTGATTTGTCACAACGAGGTTTTCATTTAAAAAAGTTCATTCGGAGTAGTGGCAGCACCAAAGGTGGGCTGAGCCCACCATACGATTTTTTTGGGATCTTGAAAAAAACTAACGATCTTGAAAAACGATTATTGTTTTTCTTTCATAAGGTTCGTCTCTCGATTATGTACGTGCTGAACATTTTGTAACAGCGACTATTCAACAAATAATTGATCTTCGTAGCGAACAATCATACAAACAAATTTATGATGAAGGAAAACAGTTTTATAACCCAAATCGAATTCATTTAATACAGCGATATCATGTAAATCGTGAAACTAAAATTCCGGATCTATTTAAAGATTGTTTCGCTTATTCAACTGTTAGACAACGTAAAATATTTGTCTATATCAGCCGATTTTATGAATAAGATTTATTTCTCTCTAGCTGATTGTATGCTGCTGGAGTTAAACGATAGGTTTTCAACAAAAAAAACTAACATTAATGAAGAGTATGTCTACAGTCTATCCTGAAAGTGAAAACTATTGAAATAGTGAAGATGTTGATGCATTTTGTCTTCATGTTGATGTTGAATCAAATAGTTTTAAGAATGAATTTGCTGTTATTAAATCAAAGTTTAAATCGAAAGAAATCGATGATGTTATTCAATTCTTCAAGGAATTAATTCCATGTTCTAGCGTATTTCCACAAACAATACTGATGATAAAGATGCTATGACAATACCAGTTTCGCAAGTGACATGCGAACGTTCATTCTTAAAGATGAAAACGATAAAGAAATATCTTAGTAATTATATATCTGATGATCACCTAAGTGATTTTACGATCTTGGCTATTCGGCGGGACATTTTTATAGGTTATGAACAAGTGGTAGATATATTCGTATGCAGTCATAAGAAAAGCAGACTTTCGTTATGTTAGGATTATCTTAAACGTTTGAAAAGAAATACTTAGGGCATACCAAAAGTAGTGAGGGGGATACTTTTTTTCCCTTATGAAAAGGTCTAAGAAAATTTCTTTTTTAACCAATAGATAGAGCGTGTTTTGCTCTATCTTTTTATGCTATTTCATCATTATTAAACTGTGATCATAATAACAGAATTTTGATAGGATCTGTTTCTGTCGCATATTCACTGGTAGCATAAGTGCTCGTGAGCATTTTCGAAATAACGTCTGATAGAAATAGGATAGAGAACTGTGGTTGTCATCGCCGGAAAAAGGAGACGAAAATGCATTGAACAGTATACTATCGAATTTTCTATTATGATTCCTGATGGTTTTTATTCAATTTTCTAACCGGCGGAAAAAAGCTTGTTTTATAAAAAAGAAGAAAAGACAAAAATTTGTCAGAATATAGTAGTAGAGGTTTCTCAAGAATAGGTATTATTTATAAATAACTGTATTAAATAGCTGAGTCTTTCGCAGTGGGTCGCAATCATTTTGCCGACAATCATATTACCGACGATCACTTTGCCGACACCTTTTTGCCGACAATCATTTTGCCGACGGATACACTTTGCCGACGGATCTTTTTGTCTGATCTTCTATAGTCATCATTATTTTGAGGATCAGAAATTAAATGAGGGTGCCGGGGAACACCTAAATGAGGGTGTAGGGGAAGACTTAAACGAGGGTGCAATGAAAAACCTAATTGAGGGTGCAGGGAAGGGCTAAGGTGAGGATATGATGGATGTAGCATAGTTTGCTGAAAGGTGGCTGTAGCATCATCTACTTCAGGCTATGGTTACAAGAAGAAATATGTGTTTTGGAATTTTTGACAAAAAGATGTGTCGGCAAAACGTATCTGTCAGCAAAGTGTATCTGTCGACAAAGTGATTGTCGGCAAAGTGTACCAGTCGGCAAAACGGCATCGGCAAAGTGACTGTCGGCAAAATGATTGTCGGCAAAGTGTAGCGGACCCTTCGCAGTCTGTAGATATCCAATTAGTAGTTTGAATCTGAACACGATTATTGAACATTTACCGTAAACAACTTATAGAATGGATTTCCTCTTTAAAAAGTCAGCCAAAATCTTATAAAAAGTAGATTGAAAACATAAGTAGTACGTAGCTTGACGCATCTTCATCTCGTCTCTCCAAAGGTGAAAACTGTAACTCTCTATTTTATTTCTGTCCAAAGTTATTCCAAAAATACCCACAAGCATTCATGTTCGTGCTGCCAGTGAATATGCGACAGAAACAGATCCTATCAAAATTCTGTTATTATGATCACAGTTTAATAATGATGAAATAGAATAAAAAGATAGAGCAAAACACGCTCTATCTATTGGTTAAAAAAGAAATTTTCTTAGACCTTTTCATAAGGGAAAAAAAGTATCCCCCTCACTACTTTTGGTATGCCCTAAGTATTCACTATAGGAAAAACTTTCTTTGATAAGCTGAAGAGTTGAAAACAGGTTTGAATAGCATTTTCAGCATGCAAAAATTTAATAATACTGAGCCCACCCTACTTAAAATCTAATAGGCAGGAGCCCACCCTAGCCTAAATTCCTGGCACCGCCACTAATTCGGAGTATAGGACTTTTTCATTTGAAATAGCGAGTATATATATTTTTGATTCTTTAGTTGAGGGTCAAGTTAGTCTACCTCTTAAATATTCTTATTCCCTTTTCTATGTTGAAAAATGTTCAAATACAAAATAATTAGATAGGAAATAGTTATTTACACATTTTTAAAAAGATTTTCAATCGTCGATTAATGTTCCATTTTTTTCAAGTAAAATCTCTTAATTCACTGAAGACTCATCAGTATATATGTCGTGCCGAGGTTCCACCCTCACCCGAAGTTATAACTTCGGTACCATATATATATATATGTTGTAGACAGAATCGGAATTTAGGCAAATTCGGAATTTGCCCGGGCAAAATTAAGATTTTGACCGAAAATAGATTCATTGAAAAAATCCATATCGAACGGTATCATAGTTACTTTTATTTAAGAAAATTATTGTCTCTAAACACTACAAAAAAAATAAATATTTTCTTACTATTCGTCCATATTTCGACAACACCCATCATTTATCACGCTTTTGGGTCTAAATCTTTCACTTAATGCATTGATATATTTTTCTAATTCTTGATAATAGAATAATTCTTTATTTTCTACTCCAACGATCGGTAAATCTGATTTAACCATTTTTAGTCAAATTATGATGTTTACCGCTTTACTTATACTATTCTTCCAAAGTTTCGCTCCTATTAACATTTTTCTAGTCTTCCTTCATTCTAGTCAAACACGTGGCTCTATGTATATATTTTCGGTCAAAATCTTAATTTTGCCTGTGCAAGTTCCGAATTTGCCTACAACATGTATATATATATATATATATATGATTTATCTAAAGTTTAGCCAATTTTAGTGTTGCAAAGAGCGTCTCAAATATGGCTAGAAATGGAGAGGAGAAAAATAAATATAATTTTACTTGAAATTCTAAAATAATTGCGCGCACACATATGAGACGAAGCTGTATTATCTTCATGAACAGAAGGAATTATCACTCTAATCGTATGCAGAAAGTTCGAAAGTATTCAGTCCGGTAGATACTGTTTTGAATATGAATATATTTCTAGTAAGTGTAGCTCAGTGGTATATGTTCACGACTTCTGATTGATGATTCACATGTTCAAATCTGCTTCTCGTCATGTAAATTAAAAATTCAGGTAATATGCTAGGGTAGACCAAGACCCTCAGCATATAATGTAGATGGCAATCCTGTTCACATCTGAGATGAGCTGATCGATTTTTCCTGTATTTTTAAATTTAGTCGAAACGCGTCTTAACTTTAAAATGTTCTTTGAATGATTGAGAACCGTTGCCAACATATAGCGATTAAATTGAAAGAAATAACGAACAAAAGTATAGTCCGCGAGCGCATTATCTTCCAACTTTGTATATAAGGCTTTTAGAAAATGCCGCCAAAAGTCAGCATTCGTACAACTCATTGGGCTCATCTACGAACTCGAGTGGGATATTAATGAGATGATGTTCTCTAAAAAATTACAGCTCAATCCAATTCTTCTATCGAAAATTATCGGATAAGCGGACTGCTGAAGGTGCAGGCCAATTCTTGTAGTATACTTACTTCTGAGTACACAAAAAATTGTATCAATGTTACTAGTTTTCCAAAACTCAAATTGTAAAAAAGCTTCCAGAGTGTTAGCTTTGTATTAGAGCAATGAAGAGGAAATCAGCGAAAGAGAACGAAACGGGAGAAGAATCGTGAAAAGGTGAACATCTTGGGACTCGAACCCACACCTTCTGCTATCTGGGCAGATGTGCTAAGTCAGCTAGACTAGAAGGATATCTTAATCTCTACTTTAGCGTTGTGTAATTCATTATAAGCGCTAGCACAGAAAGTCAAAACTGGTCAGCAAAAAGAACGGTCCGTACTTCGTTAGGAAGACTTTGTCCAGCAAAGCGGGAGAAAACTGTTCCAAAAATGAGCGAAAATTCGGTAATTTTTCCAAAAGCAAATGGGAATACTCTGTCTTTCTCTCTCAACAACCCTTACTTCCGCCCAGTCGTACCATCCCTGCATATAACATATAAAATAAACTTAGCTAGCGCCTATAGAAGGCATATTTATCGGTGATTATCATTATTGTCGTTCTTTGGCAACAATAAATTTCCGAATTAAATGATTGACATACCTTCATACAGAATATTTAATTGTGACTGAAGTATAACGCCATCAATCTCTCCAGTTTCATGTGGTAGTATAAGATTAACTTNTCTTTGATAAGCTGAAGAGTTGGAAACAGGTTTGAATAGCATTTTCAGCATGCAAAAATTTAATAATACTGAGCCCACCTTATTTTAAATCTAATAGGCATGAGCCCACTCTAGCCTAATTTCCTGCCGCCGCCACTAATTCGGAGTAGAGGACTTTTTCAGTTGAAATAGCGAGTATATATATTTTTTATTCTTTAGTTGAGGGTCAAGCGAGTCTGTCTCTTAAATATTCTTATTCCCGTTTCTATGTTGAAAAGTGTTCAAATACAAAATAATTAGATAGGAAATAGTTATTTACACATTTTTAAAAAGATTTTCGATTGTCGATTAATGTTCCCTTTTTTTTCAAGTAAAATGTCTTAATTCACTGAAGACTCATCAGTATACATGTCGTGCCGAGGTTCCACCCTCACCCGAAGTTAGAACTTCGGTACCATATATATGATTTATCTAAAGTTTAGCCAATTTTAGTGTTGCAAAGAGCGTCTCAAATATGGCTAGAAATGGAAAGGAGAAAAATAAATATAATTTTACTTGAAATTGTGAAATAATTGCGCGCACACATATGAGACGAAGCTGTATTATCTTCATGAACAGAAGAAATTATCGCTCTAATCGTATGCAGAAAGTTCGAAAGTATTCAGTCCGGTAGATACTGCTTTAAACATGAATATATTTCGAGTAAGTGTAGCTCAGTGGTGTATGTTCACGACTTCTGATTGATGGTTCACATATTCAAATCTGCTTCTCGTCATGTAAATTTAAAAATTCAGGTAATATGTTAGGGTAGACTAAGACCCTCAGCATATAATGTAGATGGCAGCCCTGTTCAAATCTGAGATGAGCTGATCGATTTTTTCCTGTATTTTTAAATTTAGTCGAAACGCATCTAGAGACCTCGATTTTTTTTCACCCGGAACGCGTATAAAAGTATAGTCCGCGAGCGCATTATCTTCCAACTTTGTATATAAGGCTTTTAGAAAATGCCGCAAAAAGTCAGCATTCGTACAGCTCATTGGGCTCATCTACGAACTCGAGTGGGATATTAATGAGATGATGTTCTCTAAAAAATTGCAGCCCAATTCCTGTAGTATACTTACTTTTGAGTACACAAAAAGAGTGTATCAATGTTACTAGTTTTCCAAAACTCAAATTGTAAAAAAGCTTCCAGAATGTTAGCTTTATATTAGAGCAATGAAGGGGAAATCAGCGAAAGAGAACGAAACGGGAGAAGAATCGTGAAAAGGTGAACATTCTGGGACTCGAACCCACACCTTCTGCTATCTGGGCAGATGTGCTAAGTCAGTTAGACTAGAAGGATATCTTAATCTCTAGTTTAGCGTTGTATAATTCATTATAAGCGCTAGCACAGAAAATCAAAACTGGTCAGCAAAAAGAACGGTCCGTACTTCGTTAGGAAGACTTTGTCCAGCAAAGCGGGAGAAAACGGTTCCAAAAATGAGCGAAAATTCGGTAATTTTTCCAAAAGCAAATGGGAATACTCTCTCTTTCTCTCTCAACAAACCTTACCCCCGCCCAGTCGTACCGTCCCTGCATATAACATATAAAATAAACTTAGCTAGCGCCTATAGAAGGCATATTTATCGGTGATTATCATTATTGTCGTTCTTTGACAGCAATAAATTTCCGAATTAAATGATTGACATACCTTCATACAGGATATTTAATTGTGACTGAAGTATAACGCCATCAATCTCTCTAGTTTCATGTGGTAGTATAAGATTAACTTGTGATATAATTTTCAGACATGAGTCCACCTCGTCCATTTGTTGTTTTGATGAAAACAATTGTTCAATACAATATGAAAATCTTTCAGCTATTCGTGAAACAGTTTTCTCATCAAATAAATCACGAGAACATGTAAAATTGAGGGATAATGCATCATTTTCTAACGTTGGATAATAGAGAAACGTTAACATAAAATCGAATTTAGCTACTTCATACGATTGCTCTAATGATACTTGCTGTAATTTTGTTTCACCCATCGATAAATAGGTCACATTTTCGGAAATAATGATAAAGTCGAACATTGTCTCAAGAAACCCAAGATTAGATTGATTGAGGCGAAAATCACTGAGAATATATTGAAGTGGGTAATGAGAGTGTTCAAGAATTGATAAGCCTGTTTCTTTTACATGTTGAACAAATTCGTCAAATGACGAATCTACATTAAATTGAATACGACATGGTAATGTTGATACAAACATTCCAAATAGGTTTTGCAACTCATGTCTATGACGATTGGCATGAACGGTAGAGATGCAGATATCTGGTATACTATGAGTCAATCTGAATAGAAATACATAGAAAGTAGCCAAGCCTAACTGAAATAGAGTAACGTGATGAGATGATGCATAATTCACAAATGATTGTGAAACATGTTGATCAAAAGAGAAACGGCTAACAGAAGCAGCAGCAGATGATCTCGTATCAGAACAACGAGATCGATCATATGGCAATGACAATTTAGTTTCAAAGTCATATTCTTTAAGATGAGTACGCCAAAAGTTTTGTGATGGTGTCAAGTCGATTAAACGTTCGTGTACACTGTAATCAATATATTCCAATGATTTCTCATCAATCTCTTTTTCCCACCAATTTCCATCATTATTATAAGCAAACGTTATTTCCTTGAAGATTATTGGAAAACATGATCGATCAAATGCCGCATGATGAAAACCAATAGCAAGTATATCGCCGTCTCCTACAAATTCTGCACTACTGTTTTGGTGAGATGGCATTTGGCGTCTAAATATTTGACAGCAAAAAACACGACCTTCTGATAAATCGAATAAGTTAGCATCGGTAACTGTTTGATAAATTATGTTTTGAAGTTCTTTTTCATCCTTGTATATTTGACCTTGGACTATTGCAAATGAACTATTTTGATGAGTGATGTGTTGCTCCAAAATGGTATGATGCTTGTTAAATCTGAGAGATGTTCGCAATATTTTATGTTTCGTCAAAATATATTGAAAAACTTTTGATAGACGACTTAATGATAACGATCCTTCAACAACTCTTAGAACGGTTAATTCATTGTAAATAGCAATACTTTTTGAAAAGCGAATTTGCTCATCAATAAAAATACGTTCTTGAGCAAAAGAGGCAATACCTATACAAGCAACAAAATAATACACCCATTCATTCAAAACTTCCTTAACAAAAAAATTACCTTGATTGATGTGCAGTGTATGCCATTGAGTTTCTGTTATATCATTGTGAGTAACTGTTTTAAGTATTTCGGCATGTTGAAATACAGTTGGACGCTGAAGAAACGAAGCGATAGAGACTGTACGATTGTCAAAATTAAACAATAATTGATAGCGATAATAAAGTTCAATAAATAGAAGTGAATGGCCCCCAATAGTAAAAAAGCTGGTATTTATTGAGATATACTTTCCCTCACATTGAAGTATTTGCCGCCAAAGATCGAGTATGCATCGTTCTAACTCTTTCAATGGATTATCTAATTGATCTTCTTTAGATAAAATAAGTGATGCGAACTCAGGCGCAGGAAGACGTTTCCGATCTATTTTTCCATTTGAATTCAGAGGTAGTTTGTGTAGGATAATAAAACGAGATGGAATCATATGTGGCGGTAAATGCGATCGACAATATTTATGTAGTTGTTCTTCAGTGATATCAGAGCTTTGGATATAGGCAACTAAGTGATCCTCTCTCCATTTGATTACAACACAAGCAGAAATGGATGTAAGATTAAGTAAGCACCGTTCAATTTCACCAAGTTCGATTCTTTGTCCATGTAGTTTGATTTGATGATCTTTTCTTCCTTGATAATGTATATTATTATTATTATCTATCTTGACAAGATCTCCGGTTCGATAAAATAATAAACTATCGATATAAATCAGTGAGTTGCTTGTTAAATCATCACGTCCAAGATAGCCAGCAAAGACCCCTACTCCTCCGACAAATAGCTCTCCTTCTTGGTTGACTGTCACATTTTGCAAATATTGATCCAATATTATATGCAGATAGTTTGCCAGAGGTCGTCCAATTGGAATGTTTTCGCTTTTCATATTGTGATCCAAAACATGAATAGTACAACCATTGGTCGTTTCGGCTGGGCCATATGCATTCATGAGTTTACAATTCTTTGTCATAGTGCTCGACATTAGTGTTATTAGTTTCACTGTACAGATTTCTCCTATAAGATGAAATAGGTTCCCAAGTTTAGTTGAAAAAGTTGTTTATTTTTTACATACCGCAAGTACAAACTAAACGAAGGCATTCCAGGACATTACGATCATTCATCTGCCGTGCAAAAGTAAACAAATGTTGAAGCAAAGTCGGAACAGTAGTAATGGAAGTAATATTTTTCCTTCGTATCGTATGAAGAAGGTAGTTAAAGTCGAGAATTCCTCTTGGACGTAGAAGAACAAGAGAGGCTCCGGTCGTAAGGCTACACGCTATGTCTTGCACATGAAGATCGAACGAACAATGCGCAATCTGAAGAAGGACATCAATTCTACTGATCCAGTGGATAAAAACAATCGAATCTCTATATTCTATGATATTTCGATGTCGAACTTGAACCTACAATGAAAATAATGGTTGTGTTACATACTTCGTGCTAAAATTTTATATTTGGCGTACCGCTTTCGGTATTCCAGTGGAGCCACTTGTGAAAATGATGTATGCAATATGCTCTGCTCTCACTATGATGTTTGATAATTGAGCAACGACTATATAGCTATGTGCGTCACTATTAGCCAATATTAAATCAACATTTACTGATCTATATTTATGATTTATCTTATTCTTGGTTAACCAATGAACAAGAATAATATGACTTTGAGTTTGTTCGATAAGCTTATGCAAACGATCTATTGGATCTCGCGGCGATAGTGGGCAATACACGGCATCTACCATTTCAATGGCCATTATACCAATAATCTATAGTGAATAATAGCTTCTCATTCATCTTAATACACACGTCGCTCGCTTATCAACTCACCATTGTTATACTTCTCTCAACACATTGACAAATGACTTCACCTGGAGAGATATGGGACTCATTAAGAAGATTCAAAGATAATACTTGAACATAATATAAGAGTTCTCCATAAGTTAAAGATTGCTCATCTAGTTCAACAGCTACTTTTTGCGAATATTGAATTGCCTTAGAAACAAATTCGTGCTGAATACAAATTAGAGAAGGAAAGGATATTTCTGTATTATTCATTGATTGTCGAAGCAACTGTTCATTTGGTAATATTAATGACAACTCATAGAGCGGTTGATTTATTTGACTATGAATGGATGCAGATAATTGATGTAGCATGGAATGAAATTGTTGTGAAATCTTACTAACAGTTTCAACGTTAAATAAATCATGCGATGCATCGATTGTACATGAGATTTGATTAAGATCCAAATAATAATGAAAACTAATAATAAAATCAAATTTACTCATAATTTCACCTTCACTGATCTCAATCGAAAAGGGTGCTAAAGTAAGTTCATTATCATCAAGCATTAATTTATTTTTATTATCGTATGTTATAGATGATGTAAATTGGAATGATGTATCAAGAAATGCAGGATTTGATATATGAGGATGTTGACCAAGAATACGTTGAAGAGGAAAATATGAATATCTCATACTATTTGTCATTAATTCTTGTATATAATCTATCGATTTATGGAAATTCAGATGAGGACCAAGTTGGCAGCGTAGTGGAATAGCATTGACAAACATGCCAATTATAGCTATAAACTCATCTCGATAACGTCCGTGTGTGTTCATTCCAATACATAGATCATTGTCTCCATTAGTTAATTTGAACAAAAGTATAAAATAAGTACCAAGTACTAAATAGTCAAGTGATATGTTGCTAGTGGACGCATAAGTAAGAAACTCATAGGAAAGATCTTGTTCAAAATCAAAAGAAACAGATATTCCACGGCCAGTTCGATGTTCATTTGAAAGACGATACCGATCATACGGTAATGGTAATGATCGATCAAGATTACAACCATGAAGAATATCAAGCCAATACATACTAGCACCAGTCATTGACATCTGCTGTTCGATAATGGCATCTATATAGAACAAACAAAAAGAATTAGAGAGAGGGAAAGAAAGAAAAAATGTATCTATCTATTTACAGTCAAGATAAGTAAACGTATTTTCACCATTACTGTCAATTAGTTCTCCTGTTGTATATGCTTGATTGAGATCATGAAGAAATATATCCATTGATGGAAAATCAAATGATGCATGATGAAAATTAAAGATGATTATATCTTTATGAGAAAGTAGATTGTTTGAAGAGACTTGTTTGTAGTAAACAAGATGACATCGAAAAACAAGACCTTGGCTAAGATTAAAAAGTTGAGGATTTCGTTTCTCTTCATGTATGACATCATTCAATCGTTCTTGTGTTTCATAAGTACTCTGCATAAATGCAAATGCTGTCATATAATTGTCATTGACTTGTACAACACGTTGCATTAATTTATTTTTATTCGAATCGAAAATTATCGCTGTATGAAGCGATAAATGTTTGTTAACAGTGAGATTGAGTGCATGCTCAAGTTGCTTCACTGATATAGTACTGTTTGGCGAAAGATGATAAACAAAAGGCATGTTGTAGATTGCAACTTGTGGATTGTCAGGATCGAATCGCATTTTCTCATCAAGCCAAATGCGAGCTTGTGCATATGACGCTGGTGCTTGAATGAAGAATGTAATGATTTAGAATTTTTCAATATCTATTATGTTGAAACTGTAATCTAAAACTCTATCCGCTGATCACATTGATATGCAAGCTCAGACAATGGACGTAATATTCTTGCTACATGCTCAAAAAAATTTAATATTTTGACAAGCCTCAAAGAATGTTCGATTTTTCATTGAGCGATGGTTTGTTCAGCGAAATAGATAACATTTGACAAATGTCGTGCTAAACTAACAATAGCTTTGTAACATTTTAACGGAACCATTTCTAGTTTCGTATTCTATCACCAGTTTTAGTCTGTGTTTCATAGGCCAGCTGGAAATTCCGGTGGGTTTGTCCGGAACCATCAATGGTTTTGTTAACTCTCCAAAAGTTCAGAACCTTTCAGAGTAAACTAGACATACTTTATCAAAACATCGAACGTTCAGTGTAAAGGCGTATCCAGGACTTGGTCGCTGATATAGCAATGTCTTAGAAAACTTTAAAAAACAATTATATCACTTGTCTGTTCGTGAGAATTGAAAATAGCGTTTTAGACTTCTAATTTTTTGTTTTCTTGCCAATTATGTCGAATGTTTCGCTGTCCGGATCCCGCAGGAAAGCATCGAAAAAAATCTGAAAATTACCGGTTGGAATACTGCTTTCATGCTCCAGCGATCTCCGGTGCTTTCCTATGGGTACTGACCCGTACTCTTCGATCTGGGCATTGGTAGCGATTAAGCTTATATCGATTATTTCATGCGGAGCGCAATATATTTCCTTGTGCTCGAAATCGTCTTGGGTTGAGTGGTAAATCGCGGTTAACATCATGTTCTATGAGAATTGTGATTTACTGCAATAGATGTCGCAATTTATAAATTGTGAAATCACGATATGCACCGAAATTTTCAAGCGATTTTGAAAACACCATATATGCAATGGATTTTTGGCTCTTTGCCTGATTATCCAGTGGTAGTAGTTACTACGGAATTGTTAGATTATCTGCACTACTCTTGGAATATGACTAGTTATCAGAGATTTATTGATATCTTACTCCTACGATAATGTCACGTCTTAAAATGAATGAATGTTTATTTGGAAATTAAACGAAAACTGAACCAACAACATAGAAAAAAATGCGAGTATATATAGGATCAGAAGATGAGAAATGTCCCGACAATATCTCCTAAGTACTATGACCATACCGAACACTCCTGTGGAATATCTCCAAGGAAGCCAAGGTCCCAATGACGTCATTATGTCACAGATAACATAACGAAAAAAGGAATATACCTAATGCGGATATTTTCTCAGTGGCCTGGCAGAAAATATCGGTAGTATTGCAGTACTAGCTCCTGGATACGTCACTGGCTCGGTGGCATTGGTCCCAAATGAATCATTGATTAACATATCCTCAAACAATTCTGTGGAGCACTTGTGGGCCTTTCCAAAGCTTCGCAGACCAATTGAAGGTTCAGCGAACTTCATACGATACTACGCATAGGTCAGATCCCTCTAAAAGTTGTAAATGAAAGAACAAAATAGATGATCCGGATCTTTTCATATGTCCATTGTTTTCTCTTCAAAAGACAAAAACAGTTATAATATTTTTTTAACTTTCTTTTCTAAAATAATAACTTCTTATATTTATTTGTACGCCTCATGTATGAAGTATTTCAATAATAAGCAGACAGACATACCTTCATTAACAATACTAGACTGTCGACAAAAAACAACATTTTTGATTTCTTCAGTTTCCTCCGGTAAGATTAGATCGAACTTAATGACAGGGATATAAATGGAATCATTCCAATTATTGGCTGAAAAATTTGATGAAAACAGTTGGTTGAAAAGATGTTGTAATCTAACGCTCATAGTTACGATTGTCGGTTGATCAAATAAATCTCGCGAGCCGATGAATGAACACGATAGTTGATTTTCATTGGAAACTGGATTGTAAACAAATCTCACTAAAAAATCAATTTTCGCCGCTTCGAAAGATAATTCCATTGGTACATATTCTAAACTTGCGCCCTTCAAAGATACATAATTGGTTTCTGTAGTAACAGTTATAATATCAAAGGTTGATTGAAGAAATGGGATACTCAATGGATTGAAATGAAAGTCAGCAAGGATATGCTGCAATGGATAATGAGAATGTTCAAGAATTGATAAACATTTTTCTCGGACATGTCTGACAACTTCAACAAATGACCAATAAGGATCGATTTGAACACGATATGGTAAGGTTGAAACAAACATTCCAATCAAATCCTGTAATTCAGTTCTGTATCGATTGGCATTAACGCAAGAAATACATTGATCAGTTTGACCGTGAGTTAACTTGAATAGAAATGTATAAAAGATGGCTAATCCTAACTGAAACGGTGTGACCTGATGTGAAGATGCATAGTCAAGGAACGATTTCGAAGTTTCCTCGCTGAATGTTATGAAAGCTGTCGACGATAAACCTGATCGTTGATGAGCAGTTGAATAGTATCGATCAACTGGTAATGCTGATGCATGTTCGGAATCGTAGCCTTCAAGTTCAGAATGCCAAAATTCACGAGACAATGTCATATCCATCAAACGTTCATGTACACTATAATCAATATACTGCATTGAATGGTCATCTTCAAAACATGTTATTTTATAATTGTTATTGTAAGTAAGAGTCAGATTTTCCAAAAAGATAGGGACAGTTGATCCATCAAATACTGCATGGTGGAAAGCCATTATAAGAATGTCACACTTCTTGATCCATTCATTGCCATTACTATCAGTACATGAGTTCTGTTGTCGAAGAATTTCACAATGAAACACTCGACCCTCAGACAGATTAAACAAAGTAGGATTGATTGTAAGCTTATAGATAATATCAAATAATTCACTTTCATTTTCAAATGTTTTCTCATTAAATAATGAGAATAATAGATTACTATCCGTGATGTATTGTTTTAAAGTACTATCTTCATTATCAAAAATAATAGATGTCCGTAATATAGTATGTTTGCTTAAAATATGTTGAAGCGTTTTTAATAAACGAGCGATCGATACTGAACCTTCGACGACTCGCAGAACCAATAATTCATTGTAGATGGCAACTTCATCAGAAAAGCGAACTTGTTCGTCAAGAAAGATCCGCTCTTGAGCAAAAGACGCAGGACCTAGATGTTTTATGATAAAATATTTTAATCTGTTGCATAAAAATTGAAATGCAACTGTTTGCAATATAGGATTCCATCTAGATGTAGTGTATATCTGAAAAGTCCTATAGATCTTTCTCTATAATAAAAGACTCCAAGATGTATAATTACATTTTACACTGAAAACTTTTAAGCGAGTCTTCTATTATAGAGGGAATTTACTTTGTTCTATATTTTCATCGAAATTGTTGTTAAACTATACTGTACTGAGGAAGTTGTGAAAGGAGTTTTATAGATCTGTGAATTCAGTAAAAGATAGTCATCAGTTTTTTGTTAGTACGTGACTAGGATATATTTAATAAAATATTATATCAAGCTATGTTTCAGAACTAACTAGCGGAAATTGATGTTTGCTGTAAAAAGATGGAATATTGCTTATGTCAATTGAACATAAACAAAACACCTAGCCGATGGCTAGAAACGTATCTTTCAACTTATTTCGACTGAACTAAGTGAAATAAATTTGTTCTTCCTGAAATCTAACACTAAGTGTTCAGGGAAAAACATCATTTAGACGCTTGAATAAGGTTAAAAATCTTTATTTCACTTACAGAGGAGCAGAATTCTCCTACAATTCCTCAAGTTGTACTTTTGCGATAAAGTAAAAACAAGAAAAACATAGCAACATTTTCTTCTATTTACCTTTCTCCCTACAATATTGGAGCTTATCCAATATTTTCTTTTTTTGCGGTTTAAAACAACCAAACTAAACTCAAGTTGTTAAAGTAGGAAAGAAATGAGAAGTGTTGCCAGAGCATATTCAGGATATGTATATGTTCTAGATAGCTGAAATTAAACGATACGTATATATATAGGCTTAAGCGCACAACGCGTCATCTTCGAGGCTATAGTTTTCAAGTCGCCATTTAGAAGACTTATTGCCGTCATTTTAGAGAGCCTAGTCGGGAGTGTTTAAATATACATCTCATTTCCTTGAAGTCGGGTGTAAATCACATCCAATAATTAAGATTAGCAAGATTACCGACATATCAGAAAAATTCTTGACTTATCATTGTAACTAATCCACCTAATTTATTCAAATAATTAGATATACAATGCGTTGACTAAAATTTAAGAGTGTACTACCAGACACATGTTTAGATATAACAGAAAAGTTTTTATTCGGTATTGTTATACCCAGCAAGCTTAACGAACACTACTCGATTTAGATCATCATTGCTTAACAAAAATCCAGTGTAGTGTTTTTTTTCGCCAACAAGACACAACATGTTTTTCTCGAACTGTATACACAAAGCTAATTTTCCGTGAATTTTCTCATAAATTTACTCTTAATTCTAAAAGGTTTTCGTTAGCAATCATTTTTCGCCATGCAGTGACTTTTCCCACATTTTTTCATATACTGCTTACTTTTTTGTAGAAGAAAAAACACCGGGCCTCCGATTGCGAATTTTTTGAAAAAGAGGAATCCTTAGAGGATCAATTCTGTTTAAAAGATAGCCTTTTCATAAAAAATGGCAAAAATATATATAGGTATATGTAATTCTGCCAAAATCTATCAAATTTTGTTTTGCTACTCCTCTCATTTTTTTGATAGAATTTAAGATAAACAGTTACACATTATTTAAGACCTACGTGTGATGCTTTGCTATGAAAATAAACATTTAAATGAAATTTCGTTGCAAAGTTGGATTGCGACACGATTCATTCACATTTCAGCAAACAATGGAGAACTAAATCGCTAACTTGAAAAAAAAATTAGATTCATTTTTCATAATATGTTAAAGGTTACCGTACGCATAACTATAAGTGCATGGAATAACTCACAGATTGATTTTACCAGCTGAGTGTGCAACCGTGCGTCCATGATCTTTTCCTTTCTGTTGCATTAGGATCAGTCCACAGACTGTATTCGAATGCTCGGATTCGAGACATAAGGTGTGAAAAGGAGAAGATGTGATTTCTTCGTCGTGTCTCTCCGTTCCTTCGCGTGTATCAGTGTATTCTAGAATTCTCTTTCTTTACTCGTCTTTATTAATCTTTAAATACGCTCCTTGTTATCAAGAGTGTGATGAAGGGTGGGCATGAGAGCAGATATAGAGAGAAAACGCCCACACTTTGTATCCTTTCTGTCGTTATTATTTCTTTTCTAAAAAAAAGATTTTTCATTGCGAATAAATCAACGTATTGGATCGTGAACGAAGGATACAGATCTCTGTTGCGGAATGACAGATTAGTTCTATTAAAGGAGCTATTTCTGCGCTAGGCGGGGCGAGACAAAAAAAATCGTCGTTCAGCCCCTCTGTCTTTGGCTCAAACTGTATCTAAAGGTAGTTTCCATTGAACCATTTTTCAGCCATAGTTGCACTGGACCTGAAACGTTCTTAAAATCAACTCGACTGAGTCAACCAATGTGGAATTTAGTTACTGTTTTCGGCATAGTGTCTCTATAATGAATAATGATATGGAATGACCTTTTCTTTAGAACTCTCTAAAAAAAATTGTTTTACAGGCATAGACAAAAGGATTTCACAGTAGAAAAATATATGCACACTGCACGCGCCTGGAAAACTCATAGCAACACGCATGCTCGTACTTTGTAGTTGCGATGAGAGTTCACAAGGCACATGAAAATTTTGTTTACACGAATTATTACGCTTTTGACCCTTTGATCTTAAGAGGATTGAATTCAACTATCTATGACACAATTCATCAAGCAGAGGCATGTCAATACAAAGAGTACTACGTACAACGGATGTCACCATCTTGGGCGAATTAATTGAAAACATCTATGCATATTCATATATATATATAAATACATTCAAACTATTTTTTGCTCACGAATACGTATTTTATTGATGTTCGCTTGTAAATTGATGCGGAGCTTGACTAATATCCTTTAAATAACCTCGAGTTTTCCTATATTCTGTGAAATTAGTTGCATTTATCTGTTTTTTCATGAAATATAGGTAAAATAGGAAAAACAGTCGGAACATGGGACAAAATATAGGTTTTTTCAAAAGAATAGAATTCGGAGGAAAAATAGGTCGAATAGCGGCCCAGAAAAATACCTATTAGCAATAGATCATTTCTAAATTTTTATAAACAAGGTTTTCTGTACCCATGAGGTATTGCCATCCAAATGCAGTAAATTAGTGCGAAATACTGTGAGCAACTCAGAACCGTACTCAATAATACGGTAATTTCTTTATCTATGAAGCAGGTTATAAGTTAAAAAATGAAGTTCTGTATTTTATAATTTAATCCTGTGGATTAGACGCAGTTTATCGAGCCGATTCTGCATATGTGTTTGGTTTTGTGATTAAGGCATGCTTTCATGAAGAAAGTATGAGAATACCTTTGATAAATTGGATCCTGATAGGTTAGTCTATTTAACTTACTATCGATAATTTTTTAATTCAAATTTCAACAGCACAAAAATTCATGCATATTTCTTGCAATTATGACATATAGCACAATAGTCTCATAATACACGCCTGCATATACACCGAAATATGTACAGAAGAATCGAGTCGAGAAACTACTGGCATCGCATTACATTAATAGAAGCATTCTGGAAGAATGCGGTTATTTGTTCAACATGCTCAATTTTTAGCTACAAAAATTGTATGAAACGTTTGTTTTTATGTCGTACGCATTCGCAGAAAAAAGGAGATCAACGTTTCCTTCTAAATTTTTGTCCTTGTGTAACGCAATTTATTTCTTATATAGTTTCTTAATAGCATGTCGAAACAGCTACAACTTTGGGAGGGGATATGGTTGGTAGAGGTGCTTGCTACTACCCATAAACAAACTCTGCAATACACTGTATTGTTAGACGGTGATAGAAATATTGTGATCAAAATGTCATCATGTCACTTGGGTTTAAGTCGATATATATAAACGGTTAGAAAAATTTTGCCAGCGTAACAATTTTTCAAACAAAATCTTCTACCCACGTCGAAAGATTTTACGTTTCTATTCACTTAGTTCGGTGGAAGGCAAGGGGAAACCACCGCTGTACA